ATTCTTCTTCTGTTTTATGGTGGGTAGCACCAGTGTTAAGGTGCATTATCGCCACCTTCAGTGTTGGAGTGTGAACCAAATTTACTCATTTCATAAAAGAAACCCTTTGTTCTCTTTATCAGTTCTGTACTTTTGAGATAAAGAAATAAGCTCTCTAATCCTTAAGTGATTATACTTTTTTTTTGTGCTTTATTCCTTCCACTCACACCTCTCTAAGTCCCTTCTTCATTGTTTGTTGTTCATTAAAATACTTTTGACAAACACATAGATGTTCCACTGACTCCTCTTGTGGCAAACATAGAAATCATGATTATAACTTGTGTACCACCCCCCCCACCCCCACCCCTTAAAAAATAGTAGAGATGCATGTCAGGTTTTGTTTTATTATTGTTTTATTTACTGTTATTTTATGTACAACTATTCATTTATTTTGATTCAAGGGCATTGTGAAAGACACATAGTATTATCAGGCGCAAGTGGGGCAGCTAGAAAAAGTTTTGGGGTCCTGAACATTCTGCGGTGAGCAAGAAAGAGAGATGTGCCATGTTTGTGCGCCGTTTTGTCTTCACTTGTTTTGTTTATTAAAGATGAACCTGATCTTCATTTCATTACGCTTGTCTATAGTCTCGTATTTCAAGTGTGCAACACTGCTCACATAATCCTGTTGGATGTTTATTTATTCATTTTAAAGTTTTATTCAACATGTGACCAAATTTTGATATCCTCACTACTCCTACTGATGATGTCTCCTACGCTGTATTTTATAAAGATGACATCCTGTGTTTCCCGTATCCCATTTTTGTTGCCACTCCTTAACGATATATGCTTTAATTATTGCTTTTGCTTCAAATTTGATGTTCGATTTCTGAACAAATTGTTCTTTGAGCCTGTTCATAGGAAGTAACCGAACTGAATTTAACTTTAGTTCCAGGCTGATGACGCAAGACGCACAGCCAGAGTTTGCTGACCGTCAAAGTGTTGAAAGTTTGCAGAGGATTACTGTTGATGTTCATAAAGGAGTTGACGATATTTTGCAAGCCTGAGGCACATACTGGAAATATTCTTATTTAGCTTACTAATGTTATTAAATAACATTTTATTAAAACCTGCAAAATCCTTTCTGTAGAGAGATCTAAATTAATATTATAGTTTATTGTATATGCAGATTATATTTTAAGTTGTTACACAAAATCAAGCAGTTTATAAAGTTTATCTCTCTATATACTTTAGACATGTAGAACATATATGCATTTCTGCATCAATGGATGTAATGTGTGCTGTAGGTGCAAAACTTTTAGTAATCTTAACCAAGATGTAGATGATCTTATCCCCGGTGACTAATATTTGAAGTGCCTTCTCTCAACCTGCTCAAAATTTGAAACTCAAAATGAGCTCACATACTACTCACACCGTGAGGATCAGAGTACGAGGATCATTTGAACTCACAATGATTTCATATACTACTCACACTGTGAGGATCATAGTATGAGGATCATTTGAGTTCATGTATTACTCACACCGTGAGGATCACAGTATGAGAATCGTTTGAGTTCATAATGAGCTCATATACTACTCACACCGTGAGGATCACAGTATGAGGATCGTTTGAGTTCATAATGAGCTCATGTATTACTCACACCGTGAGGATCACAGCATGAGGATCGTTTGAGTTCATAATGAGCTCATATACTACTCACACCGTGAGGATCACAGTATGAGGATCGTGTGATGTCACTGTGATCATCGCATGATCTCACGTGTTGACTGGGTTGCTGGCCCAGATACAAATTCAGTGTCAGTCCACTGGATTTTTAAGATATCATACCAAACAACCAAGTACACACAGCAATAGTTCACTAGTATTATATTCAGCCAAGTTGGCCCAGGCAAACATGCATTTTACATAGTCCTCCTGAAGCAACAGCAGTGTCTTAGCAGATCAGTATGTTGGGGGTTTTCATTAAGTTGTATTGTGTTCATGCAATTTGTTTATTTTCTGCTTTGTTGAGGGATATTATGTATACTTGTAGTTGGAACCAGAGACCCAGCTGGAACTGAAAACATCATTATGCTTTGCTACTTGAATAAGAAAAAACACTGAAAATTACAGAGCAAATGATTGTGATGGTCAGCCCAAATTCCAGTCCAGCCCAAAATCATACTTTCAGAGCTAACCAAGTCAGGTTTGAATACATCTAAGATTCTGAGTCAAGTATATGATTGAGCCACAGTGATGGCAGGCTAATATATTGGAGTTCAGTGATTTTTGCAAGAAAAAGATGACCAGGCCTACCTTACATACACTGCCTGAAACAGTGGTTCTGCGATCAAAAATAGATGTGTATGTGCATTTACCATCAAGTGTTAAACTAGGGAGAGCAGCCACATAACATGAATTCGGATGCAGTAGGTTTAATAGCCTGGTTTTATTATAATTTTTTTTTTAATCTGTCAAAATGACAAACAACATTTTGATTATCCTTCAATGTATTACAATTCCGAAATGACAGAAAACTTTGAATTCATGCAAACTATAATTACATTGCTTTATACTGTGTTTTTATGTTGCTCAATCCTGTCAACAACATGCTGCAAGGAGAGAATACAAACCCTTTAACCAACCAACTTTAACTGGAATGAAATTGTATCTTCAGCTGCCAATTGTGTGGACAATCATGACAGTGAAGAGTTGACCCTCACCCAACAGATAAATAAATTCCTTAGTGTCAATAATAAGATGGAGCTATGCACCTGCAGGCATAATGCAGACTATACTTCAGTTCTTTGGACCATGCTTTTGGAGAAATGGAAAATTGTTTCAGTGAAGGTTCAAAGTTGGCCACAGCATTTGCTGAAAGTGAGACCTTTTTAAAATATGTCTATAAAGCCCATCATAGATTTAACCATTGTGGAAATGGGAGTGCATCATTGCAAAGTGATATATAACTCCAGAATCAAGATGGAGGAAAGTAATCTGAAGATGAATACTGGGAAACTACTTTATTAACAACACAAAATACTTGAAGCCATGCCCAGTATTTTCCACGTAACATGAAAAATATGTCACATTTGGGGCCTCCACCACCAAGTTTTAGATACTCCTTCACTGTGATCAAGAACTTTTTTACACACCAAAGAAGAGCAATGAACCACACTCATCAGTTTGTGCATCTTGTAGAACCATACAAAGAATAATGCAACAAATGGATAGAGTATGTGGTATGTGGCCAGTGCTGGTTGATATGATTTGTGTAAAAAAAAAAAAAAAAAAAGCATTCTACAACCTGGAGTAAAACAGCAGATATACCCAGTCAGGTCACGAATGATGGTGCATGTAGTCGGCATAAATTTAGCAAATTTCAACAGGGCATCTTGCTTTATTCATTTTATTATGAATTTCTTAAACAAACTTCAACAACATAAGGGCAAATCCATAGATCACAGCTGATGGCCCTTTGAAAAGATGCTTAGGTAATCAAGAATATTCAAATATGCAAATTAGTTTTCCTTGGATTCCCGCTTCCTCATTTTTATTCAATTGCATCCTAAGGGTGTGTAGTTTCAGGATAATATCAGATAAGACACACAAAATGAAAAACACTTCAGGAGTTTCAAAGTCAACATCTGATTGGTTGAATTCTACAGGATTTCCTGGAGACGTGTGTGTCCTGGGGCAAGTTCAAGCTCAAACCTGTGTGCACTGTTTTGCTACGGTTTCCGGTTTGAACGGCATGTTTCCTGGAAACGGTGTGCAACGGGGTTTGAGATGTGTTTTCTCTTGTTTGGTGGGTGTGTCAAACATGTCAGCCCAATCAGCAGCAACATGTATGTAAACCACGCGGTATTAAAGAGACAGCTCGCACAATGTAATTAACATCCAAATAAACTCACAAGAGCAAGTATATTGTTTGCACATGTTTATTTACATTAAAGGCAAAATAACTGAAATAGTAAGGGCACAAGTATAGATCTGGAACTTCTTTAAGTCTCTGTCTAAATATCATTTAGTAATTGCAATGTATTCTATTGTGTACTAAATACTGATTAATGTTACATGAAAATACTATACATATTTATATATTTTGCTATTGCATTGTGGAGTGACACTTTCATAAACTTTTCTATACTGCTCTGATTATATAATGGTAAATATTACAATATCATAGCACAACAACAGTGATCAGCAATAATGATAAGCCTAATACTCACAATAAAAATAATAAGGTCATATAGATCATAACACAGTCTCGGAGGTAAGAAGTGGATTATCCTTCACCTGAAATGTTTGTCTTTTCATCCTGAAATGCGAGGCAAATGTTGGATCACAATAATTAGGAACCACAGTTTCCACAAATCCCTTCATTTGATTGGGATGTTCTCTTTTATTCTGGAGGGCGAGGGCAATGACTGTACCATCGAGCGAAAATTCTTCAACAAGAACACAATGGCCTTCTCAGCTGCCATAGTTGCAACTCTTGCGTCATCAGAACAGGGTGTTCAACGCACCACCGTTTCCATTTAAAAACGTTTTGCACCGTTTTTGTTGGGGCTGAACGCAGCCCTGTTTTTTAACAGTCTGTCTGGAAACAAAGGACCACTAACACTACATAACGCCGCCACTGAATAACATTTAACATTTTTGTTGTTGTTGTGCCAATAAAGCCACTTGAGTTGAAAAGTCCAATATTTGTATTACCAAAATAAAAATAACTGAAAAAATACAGAGGTTGTTTTACAATTTTTATAAAAATATTTATTGGAGGAAAGACTCATAAACTCTAAAACACACTTCCTCTCCATGGTTCAGCAGGCTGAATATGAGCTCATGTTTAACACTGTCTTATATTTCATCTGGTTCGCTCTGTGTGAACAACTTTTACAATTAGTTTTTAATGAGACCAGAAAGGCAAAACATGCAAACGGACATAAATGTCATTGTGGCACTGTACAGTAGGTGGCGGTAATGCTCCAAAGCAGCGAACGGCCATTAAACAAGAAGAAGAACCTTGCGCATTAACAAGATATGAGTGATAAGTCTAATAAACAATAAGGTTATAGGCTCGCTACTGTTCAATACAACATATATGTGCATTTGTCATGTTAAACAAGTACAGAGTGAACATTTCGTCTTGAAAATGCACTGTACTGGAAATGTGAAGCGATAGAAGTCCATGTTATTGGAGGCAGGTAAGATTATGCTAACGACATTTCATTTTTTTTTAATATATATTATTAGCTGCACGTCACGCTTTCAGTTTTAAGCGATTAGGATTAGATTTCTGCCACCATATGATCTTCTGTGTTTGACTAGATTGTGATCATGACGGTTAACGTTGTTTGTTTAGATATTCATTTATAATCCTTCTCTGCTGACTGAATACAGAAATCTTTGAATCAGATGACACCAATAATGCCCCTGTGTAATGCTCTGTATAATTGAATTATAATGCTTGTTTAAAATATAAACACATTTATTTATTTGAAATATAAGCATTTACACATATTACCATTTTTAATACAGGGCAGTGACCCTCCAGGACCAGACTTGAAGAACCCTCCAGTAGGATGACTTGAGTGTAGTCTTGCTTTGCTTTATTTAAGACATCCTGTCTTAGGCCATAGGTTGTGTAAACAATGCTGAGGTGGTTTTCAGCAGATGAGTCCAGCTCTGTGCACGGAGTAAGTATCACTCATACTTTTGCTTGAATAGCTCATGATGCAGATTGTATTCTGTGATGTATATGATTAGAAATCAGCCTTATATATTTAGTGTGGGAATGTCTAGGAGTGAAGAGTGTCTTTTAATTTGAAATACTTGCAAATATGTTAGGTCAGCATATTGATTTCATGAGCAACTGTGTAATAAGCAAGTCACTCGATTATAGCAAAATAAAACCCTTCAGAACCCTCACCCCTTTACACTGTGCATTGCATAAATGTTCATCATCATTAATAGATTCTTTGCTTGTCTCAGGCTCCTGGCTCCCCGCAGGCGGACACGGGCAGTGATATAAGATTTGCTGAGGTCACAGAGCGGCTAACACAGATGGAGGAACTTGTGGCCCATTTAAAAGAGTTGATCAGGGAAAAGGATGCAGCACTCAGCAGTAAAGATAACCAAGTCATGGTAATTTATAGTTTACAAATATGCTCAAATGGTCAATGACAAGACGCTTTTTAAATTTAATTGATTTAAAAATGCGTTCAAATGCTATTCAAACATATAATTACTTTATTACATCACTTTTATGATAAACATGTATTCAATTTCTCATTTTAAAAAAAAGTCATTATGAGTTTTTGGGGTTGGAAATTTCTTGTTTCTCTTCCCAAATTCTCAATCACATTTGTTTGCAAATTAAATATTACTGGCCATACAGTGCATTCATACAGATAGTCTTGTCTTGTCCTCGCATTCAATTTTAAAACTGTGTGTACTTGTTATGTAAGGCAAGGCACATCAAGTTTATTTTCACTGCACGGTGCACGCCATCATAATGTTATGCAGAACATAAAATTCACTTTTCCGATCTTTTTGAATATGGGGAGATGACATTAAACTAGAAAGAGAGGCTTTGTCCTGCTCAGTGCATAGCAGGATATATCACAACACATTTATCTTTGAGAGTAAATGCAATTAAACTTGGCTTACTTCCAAACTTTTGTGTAATCTCTATTTCTTTCCGTGTTCTTGGACTTTTATTGTTTAACTTATATTGCACTTTTACAAGTCTGCCTTCTGGATGCTGACAGTATTGCTCATTGTGCTTTGTGCAGGGATCAGATGTCATGTGACACATGATGTGGCACTGCATAAAAATTATGGCCTGTTAACGTACATAAAACCAAATAAATACAATTTCGACCATTTACCAATGCAGTTTTACACTAGACCATTGATTTGCACAGATTTAACAAGTGTTGTTATTACAAAGCAAATCCTAATCATAAAAATTGCATTTAGTTTTTTTTTTTTGTATTGCTCTTATTGAGCTGCTTCACACAACATATTTGTATTATTTATATTAATATTTAAATAAATATTTACGAGGTGAAAAAACAAAAACAACATTGGAACAGAAAGAAACTGACAAAAAGTTATAATATGGAGTCAGTCCCTGTTGCTTACAGTTCTCAGAGTTGATTTGTAATGCGAGTTGTGTGTGTTTGTTTGGTAGGAGCTGACAGAACAAATGCAATGCTTGCGGGGTGAGAGAGAAAACTTTCAGTCAAAGCTGGAGGCAGAACGTCACATTACTCGGGCTCGGATCAAGGATCTGATGGAGAAACATGAGGCAGAGCTTCTCAGGGCTGCTGATAAACACGAGTCTGAGTTGTCAGAGAAGGAGCAGGCCTTACGCAGACAGCTTGAGACTCTTCAGCGCTCTATATCACAGCCCACAGATGCATCAGCAAACCTATCCACCTGCATTACAGCGCAGAGAGTCACAGAGTTACAAGGTAGACAATCATGTCACATGCTTAGAGAATGTTGTCTGCAGTTTGACCTTCCTTTCTCAAATGAACTCAGTGTTGGTTAAGCACCTGTCACAGTAACTTGGAATTTTTTAATTTTATTTAAAGATCTATAAACTTTTTCTTAATGGATCACTGAATGTAGCAGTGTCTAACATCTCCATTTAGGAATGGGCACGAGTACTTCAAAAATACCACATTGTAAAATAAGGTTTGGAAAAGAAGTCCGCATTTCACTCTGCTCCCAGTATATTGTCCAAATTAATTTATTTAATTTACAGTTTCATGTAGCTTTAATCTGTTATAGAGCATTAAATCTGTATCATTTATATTCCCTTAAAGTTTATTCATGATTTTATCAAACAATATGTTCCAAAAAAAAAAGAAAAGGTCCCACTTTATATTGCGTGTCTTAAAATTCTGTTTAGTTAATAATATAATGAATTGTTAGGTACAATGTTAGGTTAGGGGCAAGTGTGGTGGTATGGTTGGGTTTAAGGGGTAGAGGTAGTGTCAGTAGTGTAATTATAGACGTAACTACAGAAATGAATTATACATGTAATTACAGGATGGTATTTTCAAACAGAAGTACAATGTAAAAACATGTTTGTAGACAATAAGTGCATTGTATCAAATGATTCATTTAAATGTAAGTACATAGTAGTTAGGGACACTTAATACTTATTTAATTGAGTGGTTGATACTGATTACAAAATTCTGTTGCCCAATATGCACTTCCACATGGTTAATTGAACTCAAGATGGCAAGCCTGTCCCAGTTAAGCCGAGCATACACTATACAGGTTGGGAGACTAGGGTAGTCTTGAGCCCTTGCATACGTTACGAGTCAGTTAACCTGATAGTAGTGTCAAAGCATTTGGTAAACAGCACAACTGTATGCATTTGTGTGTGTGTGTGTGTTGCACATGCTGTTGCTGGTAGCCTATGTGATGTGGTTGTGTATGATTTGGGAATTGGAGAGACTATGCATTGCTCAGGCTGACTCCCAAAATATTTTCAACATTTTTAAAAATTATTGGGAACTCGAGAGGTGCTTGTAAGGTGCTTGGCTTGGCTCATAATGCCTCTCACACAATGCGAGCTGCAACCATTAACGATTGACACGATTTCTCCCAGCAGGGAGAAAAAAAAAAAGAAAAAATCAAGACAAGCTGTACGCCAGGCATAAGTCTGTGAAGTAAAATTATTTCAAAGCATTATGGCTTGAAGGGTTTAATGTTCCTCTGTGGGTGAACAATGAACACATTGTGTCCAAACATGGAGTTGAAAACAACCCTGAAAAAGTTTGTGCCCTCAAAATGTTGCCCAGAACATCTGAAGGAACTTTAATCCCTTCTAGTATTTTCTGGCTATTACCATAGCTTTGTAAAGGACTAAAGCCTTCAGACGTTCTTACTGTTGAAACTTGCAGATCATTATGTAGCTTACCTACATCCAAGAAAGTCTTTTTCCAAATCATGGTCTCCTGCCTACTTATGCCATAAGGTATTAATGAATGAATGAATGCCTTTTATTGTCATTATACACACGTACAATGAAATTAGAATAGCTTCCATTCAACATAATTTACATTTATCACATAGTAAACATACAACAAAACACTAAATAGTTGAATTGCACTAAGACTTACAATCAACATAAGAAAATAAAGAGTTATATTGCACAGAAAGAGTGTATTGCATTAAGTCTTGCATTCGAAGTGGGGGAAAAAAGAGTATTACACTAAGACTGACATTTAGATTGAAGAATATATATGAGGTTTGTATATTATCTTAAACAGTTCTCAACCCTGGCTCTTGAGGTACTCTTTCCTGCCTTTACATGGATAGTTACTTTTCTAACTTTATTTTGTGGGCTCGTTCTATTTTTTGTTTTCAGACATTCAAAGCTTGAATATATTCGTATGTTTCAACAAACATACACTTTTTTTTATTTATTTGCACTACATTGTATTGTGGATCATCTCATTGATCATGATCATCATCAGTTCATTGATCATTTCGTGCCTTGTAGAGCCTAGCTCTCGATGTCTCGAAGTCTATTGTAAATCTTTGAAGCACTTACATATGTCATGTTTTACAGATGTAACAGACACCTTCTCCTAATGTGCCTGCATGATATTAGGAGGGTGTTTATTATTTTCTGTTAAAGATACTCTGTATCCTGTCATTGCATTTTTTAAACTCTCAGTGTCCTTCCTTCTCAGTGGCTTTGTTTTAATATTTCTGTCTGTTTTGTCCTGTCCAATTCAGCCCAAGTGAAGCTGAAAGAAGCAGAGGCCAGTAAAGCAGAAGCAAAGTTCTTAAAAATGAAAGCATGGTCCAAATCTCGGATCAGGCACCTCGAAGAGGATCTCAGAAAAGTTCAGGTAAGAATGTATATTATTTTTCGCATTAGATTTGCACAGATGAATATTTAGCTAAATTAAATGAACTGCTTTCTGTTTTTGACTTCAGTCTGGAGTATGTCTCGATATGTCCCCTGATGTCACATCCCTACATAGTCGCATTACTGAATTGCAAGAGGAGAGGGAGGACATGCTCAGCAAACTGGAGTTGTATGAAGATATAAATGCAAAAAATGGTATGAAGAAGTGAAGCCAGTTCAAAATGTAATTTATTTGCATTAGAGATGGAAATTTTAGTTATTTTCACAATTTAGTTTTGTCTATTCAAGCACTCGACAGATGCAGTAATTCATGTCTGGAGATGATAATTCTCAATATTTGCTTTTAATGACCCTAAACAATTAAAATATATTGGTAAGAAGGAAACACTTACTTGATTAAGGTATTTAACTTTATTATTATGTCAGCTTATTATGGAAAATGGGTTTATTTTCCCATGCAAAAATGCATGGGTTTATTTTACTGTGCGCAAAAAAAAAAAATTAAAAAAAAAATAATTATATATATATATATATATATATATATATATATATATATATATATAGTGTAAATCACACAAAAAAACACATTAGTACAGCTTATTATGGATTTATTTTATTTTTTGGGGGGTTTATTTTACTATGCAAAAAAAAAAAGCAGAATAATTAACAAATTGTTGGTTGTCCCTTGTTTTTGATTACAGTAGTCTTTCTCCAGGGCAGTGCTCAATAAGTTATGCACATTACTTACTTACTTTATATATTTATTTATTGTATGGCACAGTATGTCATGTTTCATTGCAGTATTACAAATGAAACAATTGAGCACATACGTTAGTTTTACACTCCAAACACAACTATGCAAAATGCTTACAAAATCCTTAATAATATAATGTTTGAATAAAGGACTAAGATGTTAATTTTCCTGGGCCAGACATTATTTTTGGCCACTACTGTATTCTATCAGGGATATTGTAATTGACCAACAATTGATAATACAGGTATAATATAGTAATTTAAAAATATATATATATATTTATAAAAATTATTTTTTTTTAAATATATTTTTATTTATCTGTTTTTAGCATCTCCCATATTCATTCATTATAGACCCTGTAACAAAAAGTACAAAAATCTTAATGGTCAACTGAAAGAAATGCTCAGAAATTGTGTCTCTCTGCCCTTCTGGCAAATAATTTTCAAAATGTGGCTGGCTTGACTACAGTTGCGTATTAGGGTATACCAGTTCTACGGGAGTATTGCAACGCCCAAGTTTCAAAACACCAGCAGTTCCACAGTATTTTCCAGGGGTAGTACAGTGATGCACAGTACCTTTTAAATTGAAGATACCAAAACAACAGTTTTTTCAAGAACCAGGACCCGGAGGCAAGGGATTTCTTTAAGAGTGTTGCAACAAATGTCTTCACCGTTACCCTTACCTATGATTTTATACTAAGCATTTCGCTATGCTTTCTAGCAAAACCCGGCGGTGGAGAAGCGGTTGCTATAGTTGACATCTTCCACAATAAATATAAATAATGAATCACTGACTTTTAAACAAGTTTATCATTTACTAAATTATACAGCTATACTAAAATTAAAGGGGACAAAACACAGAGTTTCTGCCAATCTCATGTTAATCTTGAGAACCTATAGAGTAGTATTGCATCCTTCATATCTCCGAAGAGTCTTTAGTTTTATAAGATTTATAAAAGAAAGATACAGCTGTAACGCTACTCTCTGAAAACAGTCGAGCTCCTGGAGGCGTGGTGCAATCGTCTTAAAGCTGTGACATTGACATAAATAATTCCCTTAAAGCTAAATAAAGCACATTTCTATGTGAAGTCTAAATTTGGTTGATTTGAGATGGAATTACCTAAAATTGAAAGTGATGCTTCTTTTTGACACATTTTTGTGAAGTTTTTGTGTATAGAATTTTTAATTCCGTGAGAAGTCGCGTCATTCATTGATTAATGTTTTGATGATTACTTTTGATGATCATTACTTTCACTTCCAAGCACCTGAATATGGAGGTACTTGTGCCCATCCCTAAATTGCATGTTGTCTTATGTTAAGATTTTCTTAAAACATTGATAGATGAACTGCAGAAGCAGCTTATGGAATATAAGGAACAGCAGAGGAAGATGCAGGCCGACCTGGAGCAGGTGACCAAGAGAGCAGCATCACAGGCAATGATATATTTATTTGTTTTGCTTTTTTGACGTAATTATAAAAGAAATATACCACACGAGTTTGTGCATTAAAGTGATTACCACAGGGAAGGGGTGTTCATTAGAATTTAAACTTTGGTTAAACCACTGTAATGGACATCCGATTGTGTCTTGTTGCTTTTATTTATATAGCAGAAAATAACATTATCTCCTTGGGTCTCTCCTTGGAAAAGCCTTATTTTTTATTTAATGTTCGTGTCACTACAGTGGTCAAATGGCACTTTAAAAGTTAACAGTAGTATTTAACTAGCCCTGCTGATATGATATGAATTGGGTTGTATTGTGAATACAGTATATGTATATTTCTGTTAACAGGTGAGTGAAACAGGCAGCATAGATGATGTTCAGGTGATGGAGTGGCAAGAAATGATTACCATGGTGACTGAGGCAGAAAGGGTTCGAGATCAGGGTTACGAGAAGAACGTCATGGCCTTCAGAATGAGCCATATCGAGGAGGAGAGAGAGGGTGAGGATGCATATGCTATACATTCACAAATAATTAAAAAAATGTATAGATTCTACCTAAAAGTATCAACAGCTGTTTGGTAGACAAAGCAATGACTATCAACTGTAATTTAAATAGAAGTGCATGTCTATACAGTCCAGTGTTGCAGGGTATACTGGTGCTAGCTATCTTAATATTATAGTACTTTAAACCATAAAGTGTTGTCTTAAAGAGCGTTGCATTAGAGGTTGTTCACTAGAGGTGTGAGTCTTCACTGGCTTCACCATTCGCATTGATTACAATTAATTGGGTATTGATTCGATTACAATGTGATTCTTGATGCATCATGATGCGGCTTGTCCTCCATTTTTTAAATAAATACATACTAGGGGTTAAGTAACTTTAAATATCTATTTATACAATACAATTAAATTTAAGATTAATTAAATGTAAGATTTAAATCAAACAAGTATTTTAATGTGAGTTCATTTAACCACTCATATGCAGCCATGCACAGCTTGTATACCCCTGAGTGCTCTTTATAGTGTACACATACAAAACATACACAAGCATTTGAAAGCGGCTGTCTGTTTGCAGGGTTCAACATTAATGCTTGTTCACTCGTTCAGGTTTTAAATGGATGTGTACATAGCAGTGGTGGACAATAACAAAGTATTTTTATCTGAGTATTTTTATTTTACTTCACTACATTCCAAAGCATAATATCGTACATTTTACTCCACTACATTTCTTAAAAACATGTTGTTCCTCGTTATTTTAAACTGGAGAAATAACCACCCGCTCCTAGATGAGATCGTAGTGTCCGACAAATCAATTTGTGATTGAACTCATTCTTTTCAATGAACCTGTTAAATCGGTTGATCTGGTCAGAGTGAGTCTCCAGTTAACAATTACGTGAATTCACAAGTCTGACTCAAAATGAGCCAAGCCTGGGAGATCTTCGGAGCTTGAGTGCACATGTGACTGATGGCGCAAAAAGTACTGTTTTTAAATGCTTGAATGAGGTGTCTCAATGGTGTTTTATTTATTTATTTATTTTTCTAGGTAAAAACGAGACAACATTAAAATAACACAAATTATTTTTCAAATGAGTTTCAAACTAGTATGTTTGCATAGCATTCATAGTTTGCATAACCCTTCATATACAGTATCTCACACACCCCTCACATTTTTGTAAATATTTTATTATATCTTTTCATGTGACAACACTGAAGAAATTACACTTTGCTACAATGTAAAGTAGTGAGTGTACTATTGAACCATTCGGTACGAGGCTTTCGGTTTGGTATGCATTACAAACCAAACGATTTGTTGAACTAATCCTATTACATTTGGAAAATAAAAGAGCTTAAAGTCAAGTCAAGTCAAGTCACCTTTATTTATATAGCGCTTTTAACAATACAGATTGTGACAAAGCAACTGAACAGCATTAATTAGGAAAATAGTGTCAATAATGCAAAATGACAATAGTAAACACTCATTTTTCAGTTAAAGACAGTTCATCATTGAA